CTGTTTAAGCAAGATATTTTGCTTAATTTAGCCTATTTTATTTCAAACATGCATGCGTATAAATTCAATAGTTTGCTGATTGGACATAGGAGTGGACATATGATAGATATTTTGAAAATTTCACAGGAATCGAAAATACTCTTTTTGCATGTAGCAATCACATAAAGATTGTTGAAGGAAAAAACTTCACCTCGTAACACTATCAAATGTGACAACAATAATATACATCAAATTAATCTAATCTTAATGAAGTATTTAATAAAATAAAACAAAGTGATTTTTCAATCAGGAAATCATTTGAAAATGATAAACTTATTGAGCAATTAACCGCAATAATTAAACTGTACCTATCAAATGATAATATTTTCGATTCAACTGAAAATTGAAAAAATTATTTAACGACGACATTATTGCTCGATATTTTGTTGTAAGTTCTCAAATGGTTGTTGTGATCTAGCCTGAAGTGATCCTCGTAATCTCGGTTGACGTGGCCGCCGTGTTCTAGGTTGAGCTGATCCACGTGCTCTCGTCGGAAATGATTGCTGTGATCTCGCCCGAAATGGTTGCTGCGATCTTGCCCGAAGTGATTGCTGTGATCTCTCCTGAAGCGGTTGCCGTGACCTCGCTTGGTATGATTGCTGTGACCACTCTTCAAGTGGTTGTTGTGACCTCTCTCGAAGTGACAACCACTCCTGTAATGGTTCTAGTTCCCTTTCCTGTGAAGGTTCCTGTAGTATCTCTTGCAGATCTCTGTCAATTTCTAAAAAATATTCAATAGTTTACTTTTTTGATTTTTCTTTTTTTAATAATTTTCCGAGAAGTTGTAATATTATCTTTTTAAATTGAATTAACTTAAAATTTGTTATAATGAGAAGTAAACAAATATTAGATTCAAAAAAATATTATATTCCCAGCTATTAAGATTGATTGATTATGTTCAAATTAAAGTTTTAAGTTAGTGCAATTAAATTCAACAAAATGATCTGCAAAAGTAATTATAATAAGTCCAATCGTTCAAATTTGTCAAATCAAACATATTTTTAAAAAAAAATTTCAAATCAAATATATTTATCAAAATCTTTTAAAAAAAATAAATAAGCTTTTGATATGTGAAAATTTTACTATTAATTATTGTTGGCAAATAACCAAAAATGATAGCCATAAATAAACTTGATCAATATTTTCATTTATTTTTTATTTTTTATTCATTTATTTACTTTTCACTTATTTTTTATTTTTTGGTTTCTTATTTTCTTGTAAATATTTGATATTACAGCTTTGCTATAAAAACCAAAAAAAAAATTATTTGTGGAACATATTATATTTTTTAAAAGGTTTTTACTCGTATATTAATGCTGTATTTTAAATTATTTAAATTTATCGATTAAAATTATATAAAACAAAAAAAAAAAAAGAGAAAAAAAAATAAAAGAAACCTGAAGGAAGTTCTGTATCAACAAATAATGGTTCACTTCGTAACAGCAATTCACTTAATGTTATATTACGTTTTAACATCAAAATATCCTGAAAATGAAAGAAAAAATGATGAAATATTTCTTGATTCTTTATTAATTAATTCTTTTATAATTATATTATTTAATAGCTTTTTAATTTTCTATTAAAATTAATTAATTAATCATATTTCATCATTTTAATTATAAAATATATATTTTTTGATTTTAAATCACCAAAAAAGATTTGTAATTTTAATCGAATATTATTTGAAGAACTTTTTACTATTTTTTATTAAAAATATTCATATTTAGTACCTACCTCATCAGATACTATTTCTAATTTTCTTGGCTTATTTTTTCTTCGTGCTGACCCTGAACGACTTATTGGCTAAAATATTTGCTAAAATATTATTCGAAACAAAGAAGAAATTAAATATAAATTAATAAAATTCATGTTTGTTGACAGATAATTCTTTCGAAATATTTATTGATAAATACTTTCTTTCACTCATACTGTTCAAATATTTGATAAATAACTATCTATTTTCTGATTAATAATAGCAAAAAACTTCCAACATTAAAATATCTTTCTTCATTATTTAAATTAATTGTGTTTTATTTCCAATTAGCATTTATGATAAGTATAACTAAACACATGCATATTGATATAAATATTAAAATAGATTGTCAGTGTAAATTTATCACTTATTTGTTAGTTTGTAAAATTTGGAAAATTTAAATTTTTTGTGCTTTAAATTAAATAATATACCGGGGAAAGTCGCGAAGGTCCAGGCTGTGGTTCAGGATCTATCAAAGGAGGCTCCTCAGTTGCCTTCTCCACTTTTTCAGGCGGTCCTGGTGATGGCTCAGTTTGTCTCTTGTTAGGTTTTCTTGGTAATAGTCTTCTCCACATAATTTGATTACTCACTTAAAATGCATTTGAAAATTATATGTTAAAAAGTGAAAAAAAGAAATTAAATAATAAAAATTTAGAATAAAACAATAATTCATTATAATTTATAAATAATTATTTCTAATTAAAGCTCGAAAAAAAAGAAAAATTGGTAAAAATTTGATGTTTTAATTACTAAAAAAAATTTATGACAGAAAAAAAAAAGGAAAGAAAAGAAAAGAAAGGTAAATTTTCGAGAATACTAACACAACTATTATGCTTCTCTGAAAGTTTTTTTTTTTTGTTGTTGCAACAAGAATAATCAGGAAAAGATCTATACTTTTTCTATGATCAACCAATAATTTTGCATACACAACATTTTTTTATCTTTAAAACTTGGAAATAATGAAGAGATGGGAGGGAGGGAGAGAGAGAGAAAGATATATATATTACAAGCTTTGAAGATCAATACTGCAAAAAATACTGATTGATCTAAATTTTTAGGTAATGCAATCTTAGATATATTAAAATGTTTCATTCTACATTATCTGTTCTTATATTTACGATTTCTGTTTTTTTTTTTTTTTTTTTGTTTTGATAATTATGATTAAAATGTTAGCAACCATTTTGTAAATTGCAATATTTTTCTGAATCGTTTTTCTTTTTTTTCTATAATTTCAATTTATGCATTATGTCAACAACATATTTTGTTATTATTTTGAGATTTTTATAAGAATAAAATATATTGAATTGAAATTAATTCATACATAATAGTAATTTGTATATTTTAATATGGTCGAGAAAGCAAAAATACTATATGTCGCCACAATTTCATTAGGTTATAGCTTCGCTATGACCTAATGAACAAAGGTTATTGTTTTAAGTGATTTTAATCCACTTTGTAACCTTAACATCCATAAAATCCCTCCCAGTTTTCTTCCTTACAAAGCCATTCATTATAGTTCGTTGTTTGGTATGGCTCGGTTGCGAGGTATCTAGCTTGCTTATATCTTTAAATTTTTTTGTGCAGTATGTCATGGTGTGCAGAAATCCGACCTGTTCTATCAAGATTGCGATGGTGCGATGCGTCTAGTGACGTGGACGAGGCACTGAGCGACTTAGAAAAGATTTTTGTACTGCCTGAGGCCTGGCGATGGTCGAAGATTGATGACATAGTTACTTTCGGCACGGGTGTGGTGCGCCTGGCAGAAGCGCAAACCCGGTTTAATCCTTAGAAGGACGCTTTCAAGAAGGTTGTTTGGAAATCAGACAGTGCGTTGGGGAACTCGATGTTGAAGAGATCCAGGAATGTTGCAGTTGACATCTCAAGTGCATACCCTGATTGCTGGAGAGTTGATGAAAATTCATTTTATCATACTTTACTGTTGGGTCGAGCTAAGACTTACGGATGTTTTCATCTGTGGGAATGACTGAGTATGTTCACGAAATGCACAGATGTCTCAATCGAACTGCAATATATAATGTCATTGTGCAATATATAAAAACTCTCCAGCAATCAGGGTATGCACTTGAGATGTCAACTGCAACATTCCTGGATCTCTTCAACATCGAGTTCCACAACGCACTGTCTGATTTTCAAACAACCTTCTTGAAAGCGTCCTTCCAAGGGTTAAACCGGGTTTGCGCTTCCGGCAGGCGCATCACACCCGTGCCGAAAGTAACTATGTCACCGAAAGTAACTATGTCATCAATCTTCGACCATCGCCAGGCCTCAGGCAGTACAAAAATCTTTTCTAAGTCGCTCAGTGCCTCGTCCACGTCACTAGATGCATCGCACCATCGCAATCTTGATAGAACAGGTCGGATTTCTGCACACCATGACATACTGCACAAAAAAATTTAAAGATATAAGCAAGCTAGATACCTCGCAACCGAGCCATACCAAACAACGAACTATAATGAATGGCTTTGTAAGGAAGAAAACTGGGAGGGATTTTATGGATGTTAAGGTTACAAAGTAGATTAAAATCACTTAAAACAGTAGCCTTTGTTCATTAGGTCATAGCTTCGCCACTTGTCAGTCAAATGCAACTTCCAAAAATAGAAATGAAGACTTTTGATAACACCCTTACTGCATGGCCAGTATTCTGGGATTGGTTCCGAACCGCCATACATGATCAACCAATCCCTCCGCTAAATTAACGTACCTTCGGAGCTGTCTTGTGGGAGCAGCAACCTCAGTCATAGAACCCTATACGCTACGCACCCAAAATTATGAAGTAGTTATCGCAGCACTAAAAAAGTGATACGAACGGCCAGCAGCAATCAAACAACTGGAAAGATTACCTAGGGCGAAAGAAGGTAATCTACGAACTACTATAGAAGCTATTGATCGAATAATAGAATTACTTCGATTCCAAGAGGAAGATGTTAATTCAACCCTTATAATCTATCTCAATATTGGAAAAAATAGAATACGAGAAATCAGAATGGACAGTACCCATCTTAAGAGACCGCTTAGCAACCTTTGTTATTGCTGAAGGAAATGTGGCAAATATATTAGGCTATGCCTCAAAAGAACCATACAGTCCGTATTGGGACACAATTGATATGTCGAAACTGACATCAACACTAACAACAATCAACACGAAACATAACCTCCCGACAAGAAAAAATAAGGGACGACGAACAGAATGTGTTCGCTCTGCATAAACCTACATCGTACTCATGAATGCCGAAAATTTTCTACGCCTGGTCAACTCTCCAAACGAGTGGTAGAACTAAAATTATGTTTTCTGTGCTTGAAAGAAGGACATAGATCAAAAGATTGCAAAGCTTCACAATGCTTTAAATGCAAGCGAAGAAATCATCCAGCATTATGCTCACCTACAAACAACACGGGCAAGAAAGTTACGAGGAACATACCAGCAAATCAAGCAATAATGAATTGTCGTCCTTTGACTGTATGCAGCCATTACGACCTATGGATTTTCTCAGCTCACAAGGGATACGCAGTATCTCCACTACCTATTCAACGAGAAGAACCGTCAACAGATTCGCATAATCGAGATTACCTGTTGAACTATTGGAAAGAAGGTGCAACAATAGCAGATAAATTCTGGGAAAAGGTGGCAAACGCAATACCTTCAAACACTACGCAAACAAAGAGAACATAAAGGACCACACGCGCAGACTAGACGCATTCCAAAAGTGGGAGAGATTGTCTTGGTGCGCACAGGAGCAAAACCCAGAGAATGCTGGCCTTTGGCACACATCACCAAGTTAATAGCATAAGCCAGTAACATCCGAGCGGCACAACTCAAAATGTCCAATGGACACATTTGGGAAAGACCATTGAACCACCTTTACCCCTTAGAGCTGAGCATCAGTCAAAACAAACAGTACCAAGTCGTGGACCCGAATATTGAACTAGAAGATGACGAAGATAAAGAATTATCCATCCGTTCTCGATTCGGCGGAAGAAAACGATGCCAAAGAGCTAAGAGCAGACTGATAACAAGTTCAGTCATTTTGTTTACTACTTCTCGAGTCGGGAGTATCGCCAGAATGGCAAAGCTATAACCTAATGAACAAAGGCTACTGTTTTAAGTGATTTTAATCCACTTTGTAACCTTAACATCCATAAAATCCCTCCCAATTTTCTTCCTTACAAAGCCATTCAGTTTGGTATGGCTCGGTTGCGAGGTGTCTAGCTTGCTTGTATCTAAATGTTTTATAATTAAGTTACATTTGTGTGTTATGTATCAATTCATTATTGTAATGTTGTATAATTTTTAATGTTAATCTGTGGTTTAATTATCCAATTTTGAGGTTTTGAATAATAAAGTATTTCACGAAGACTTCCACAGTACACGTACACAGAACGGAACCAGTACGGATTCGAGATTCTACCTGTATCGAGGACAGAGAAGTCAACGATCTGAACCATCAAGAAAGGAAACCTTTGTTTCATAAGGAAACAGGGCAGTAAGGAAGAAATTCTAAATTTGCTTTTACATTATTAATTGATGTTATCAATGATGGTAATAAAATTTGTTGAATCTTTGATTAGCATATATGTGAAACTCATTTTGTATATACTTGAAAACATTTTTCTTATCTTTTAATTTTAATTACCAATTTATGTTTATTATTGATTCTTACAATTTTAAAATTGCTCATATTTAATTAGTGTAGTTTATTTCGTTTGTTTATTACTTGCTTGGTACATTATTTTAGAAAGTAATTATCAACAGATTTTTATTATTTATCTTAATAGTTAAAATCTAATGAGTTATTTAAAAAAAAAAAAATGTATATTAAATATACGAATGTTATAAGTTAATGCTTTTGCCAAAATATTTATTTGAATTTCATTTTGTTTAATAAATTTTTAAAAATATTTCTTTAAAATGTCGCATATATTGAATACATTAGTATTTGAAATCAAAATTAAATATATAACATGTTAAATTTTATGCTTGCAGTGCTATTGTTATTCGAATTTCTTCTTTTGCTATTTCAGATTTCTTTAGTATTATCGGAATTAATTTCATGGATTTCTTATTAGCTATTTACCTACATAAGACTTACTTATTACTTCTTTTTTCCCTTTTTATTATTCACTTTTAGTTTTAATTATGGTATATTTGAACTGTTCAGTGATTCGATATTAGCGCAAAGAAAGAAAAAAGTTCTTCGAAGACTCACGAAAATATAAATACATTTATTTTTAAATGCTTGTATATTTTTCAAATGTTTTTTTTAAATAATTTTTAAATCAATGAATGAGCAAATTTTAACAGTTTCGCTACCATTTTTATAAATCAACTGATTGATAAATTCAACACAAATTTAATCACAGATTTAATTTATCGTAACACTGCTAATTAATTCTACTGCTAATTTTAAAGAATAGAAGTTATTTTATTCAGATCATTAATTTATGGCTTAACTAAATTAGAATAAAAAAAAAAACTTTTACTTCTTAATTTAACAGAAAGTAAAGTAATTCAAAGAAAATTTACCTAGACTAATGCATAAAATAAAGCTGAATTTTTCTAATACTTTGATAATTTAATTGTAGTTCAACTCATTTTGTTTTTTTAACTGTTTTATCAATCACTTATAAGACAATTGATTGAACGCTGAGTGATGAAAACAAGTAAAGCTATGGACTTGTATTATTTTATTTTTACTTTTTATTTTATTTTTATAATATTAAACGACGAACAAGTGGGAGGAGGAAGAGGAGAGAGACGGAGGGAAGGAAAAGCAGAGGAAAAAAAAGAGTTCAAAATTTTTATTGGATGTTGAATTATTTTTATTTAAAAAAGCATAAGCTTATTTTACTTTTGTTTGAGTTATTTTATTTCATTTTGAACCTCTAAATTATTAATAACTTATTGATTTCTAAATTCCTCGACTTTTTTTAATTTTCTCTTCACCAGTTCCTTGTACTATATTGTTTTCATATAAATTTATTTATGCATTCATTAAATTTATTACATTTCAGATTTGATTTAATTCCGACACAATTTCCGTTTTTTCCATACTTACTTCCGTTTCATTTGGTTTTAAAATTTTCATTTCGTATTTTAATTCCCTTAAAAAGACAACATTTCCTACCTAAAATCATAATTATTTGGAAACTTGGTTAAAGAATAATTCCAGTTGAATTGATCACAATGTTCCATTCAGGTAATTTAGCAATTTTACCAATCCCAATAACTATTTCTCTCGCAAAAATTTTTTTAAATTTCTCAATTAATCATCAACCAAACATTTTTTTTTTTAAAAATATGCTAGTATGTTAAGACAGTATTTAATATTATATTTATCAAAATAATTAATTAGAGAAAGTATTAGCAATGTTAGATATATAATCTGGGTGATTGTCCTCTTCAAAAATTATTTCAAATTTATCAACCATTAAAATAAAGAAATGAAAGACTACAAGTAAGTGATGTAGAGGATCATTCCAATGCAGTAAACAATGAGATAAAGTATGAATTCATATATGTGAGAAATGATGACAGTAAGTTTTTTTTCCAAAAAAAAGGAAATTCTACATTGAAGATTTTGATGAATATAAAAAAGCTAAAAATAAAATTTTTAAAAATAGAGGATTAAAATCATTCAACTTTAAGCAAATGCGCGTATAATAAATAGTAATTGGGACAAAACAATGTAAACTTCCAAAAAAATCTATACTTTTTCGGAAATACAAAGTTAAGAGAATAACAAGAGCTAAACGGGGCAATAAATAAAATTTATGGTTAAAAAAAAATAAATAAATAAACTACAATTTTTTCTTCAAAAAGACAAAACTATTAAATTTCTAATTAACTAATTTCGACAAATAGGAAGCGTAATTATTAGAAATATAGAAATAATTAAATTGAAAATAATCTGTGGAAATGATTGAGGAGACAATAGATGAAAGATTTTATTTTAATCGAAAATAAATGAATACATACATATAAAAATAGCTTTGAACAAACCACTAATATAAACTTCACCGTTACTAAAATTACCAAACAATATAAATAAGTACATCCCGTTATTAATGCATTAATTAATATAACCATATAATGAACTGAAAATCTAATTTAAATATAACTGTAAAAAAAAAAATATTCTTCAAAAAAATAAGATATGGCAAAGTAAATCAAGAAAAGAAACAAAAGATTAACAAACCTATAAATGAGAACAACAAAATAAAGAATCACATAAACAAATAAATAAACATATATATATATATGAATAGCAAATAATTAATATTTAGAATTAGTTATATCATCGAGTAGAAATTTTAAAGATTGCATCATATCAATACTGTTTGAATGAAATTTTATACGAAATTACCACACCGTTAGATTGTTATCACTGTTATTTCCAATCAATCATATGCTGAAAAAGAATTACTGGTAATAATCTGAAAATTGACAAATGTAAACATATCAAATTGTGTGAGAGGAAGGCATGATAGATACATTTACTAGTATTTCGTAATGGAATAAACGATGGTAATTGAGAAACTGAAAACTTGTCTGCTTTAGGTTGGTTTTTTTTTTCTTCTAATTTGATATGTTAAAACTTACTAATGGATTAGTCATGCTGCTTTTTATTTGGGTCAAATATTGAAGAGTAGTTGAATAAGAAATCTCTGAAATAAGCTAAATTTATGTGTAAATAATAAAAATTCTTTTTTTCTCTGCTATAAAATCTTTTCATCATAAAAAAGAAATAAATAAAGGAATAAAATTGTTAAAAAACTTACGAGCATTGATGAAGTAATGAATGTTGATCATACTGATTAATGATAGGATGACTGGTAGAAGTAGGATGTTTCATTTCATTATCTATTAAAATTTATATGGAAATAAAAAAAAAAAAAACTGTAGATAGTTGCAAATTACAAATTGTAATATATATATATATGGGATAATTCCAAAATGCAATTTTATTTTTTGATATTAAATTAAGTTTGAAGAAAAAGTTGAACTATTATAGAATTGAAATTTGATTTAAAAATGATTTATTGATAAATAAATTTAATCTCGATTACCTGTGTGAATTTCTCTATTACCCAATATTGAATCGATATTAAACGTCGATGATCTTAACGTATTTCTCGAATTGGTTAGAAAAGGATTGTTATTATAAGCAGTATAATTTGTAGTTGCAGCATTAATTGTTGGACCACATGGCTGTTGGAAAAATGCCATTGATGAGAACGGATAAGCAAATGATAAATAATTGAAATGATTTTGTTGCATGGGAAATTGTGATGAGTTAACATTATGAGACATATCAGGATTGCTTGAAAGGATCATAGTTGGATCGAATGATAGAAATTGTTGTGAACGAATTGGCATTGGCATAAATTGATTAAGAGTTGACTGTTGGACAAATGATTGTAAATCATTGAAAGGTGAGAATGTTTGAGGAGCAGGAAATGATGTTAAATCAGTAATTTCCTGAAAAACAGAAAAGTTTAACACCCAAATTTTGCTTATATAAGAATTAATGAATTAATTAAATTAAATTCAAAAACATATCAATGGATGCAAAAAAAATCACTCCAATGACTCAAATATTATTATCGCACAGTATGACAAAGGAAAAATTCCATATTATTCAACACAATTGCATTATTACTATTATTTAACTTCAAAGGTCAAAGTCCAAAGAATAACTGAAAATCTGTGACATTGACATTGCATCAACATAAGGTAAAATGCTGTAGCTAAACATGATATAATGACAAAAACAATAAAGAAATCTGAATCTAATATAAATTAAAATTTTAAAATAACTCGAAACTTATTATACCTGCAGTTGAGGACGTATAATTGGCATTGAAGTAGTAGGATTTGATGATGGAATAACTTGATTAATTAAAACGGTTGGAACATTTTCTTTATTAAGATCTGTGTTTTCCTGAATCGGATCTGTTTCTTCAATTCTACTTCGCTTTTCTGCTGGCTCGATAACATCATCGGATGATTCAATTTTCATCTTTTTTTGCTTTCTAAATTTAAGAAATAAAGACATTTTAGCATTGCAAAATATTACGTACATATTTATAAGTTATTAAGTTATTTTTACTTTCAATGTGTTGAATAATATGTATTTTTCACTTTATTCTACTACTATTATTTTTATCAAATTAAAACTTTTAAAGAGAAATTAGCAGAAATAATAAGAAATAAGTTTGAAAAATGATCAAATAGTTTTAAAAAATAGTTCTTCAAAAAAAAAAATTTCACAGTTTCAAATAGTTTAAAAAATGAGAAAAAAGCAATTAATTACTGTTTAAGAAAGAATATTTCCAAATTTCCTTCTTCCACTTCATATGCTTTCTTTTCTTCTGAATTTTTTAGTTTTACCGACAACTTATTGAATCGAATATGATGAAAGAAGTCGAATTTACCATTTTCTAAAAATATTTTAAATACGTTTCAATCAATAGCGAAATAATTACGACGAATTGTTAGTTTATTAAAGAAAATGTATGGATTAACAAATTTTAATAATATTTTTACCAATAATTTTGGGGCCACAATAGACGAAGAGTGGAATTTTCTTCGTTCCAAAAGTAAACATTCTACGTTCAATTAATCGCAATGAAATCAGAACATTTGCAACATCGTAGATTCGCCGGCATCGACCTAATATTAAATTAATTCGAATTTAAATAACTGCAAATTAGACAAATTCAATGAACCTTTTTGAATTTACATAACAAACAATTTCCAGCTATTTCTGAAACCTAATTCAAAAATTTTTTAAAGTTCATTATGTTTTTCTAGGGCTGTCTTATTCTATTATCACAAGTTTTGGAAAAAAAATCCCAAGGAAAGTAAATTTCTAAGAAAAACTTACTACGATCCGGTGGCTTGCAACCATCAATTTCGGGATCCTTAATTAGTATGGTACTTGCAACGTCCAAACTTACCTTATAATCAGGTTGATAGTCCTATAAACGTTTGAAAAATGTTAATAAATTCATGAATATGATAATGTTGAATAAAGGAAATTGAAAGAATAACTTTTTAAACAATAATCATAGCTCTAGTCTATTTAATTTCATTAATATTAAATATCATTCCATTTAGCTTCAAATGTTTTAGGGATTATAAGAGCACTTCGGTAATTGAAAGTTGGGACAGTTTACTTGCAACAATAATAAGAAGAATGAGAATAACAATAATAATAAAACTAACCAATCCAACAATTAAAATCTTGAAAAAATATCTGCATAAATATGTTAGCGAGTTTAATCCACGTTGGCGTTTATTTTCCTTTTTTTTCGAACCAGGTTGCCTCGATAAGACATTTGCGCTATCATTATTTTCTAATGAATTTGACTGTTCTTCAATGGCAAAGCTATTGTCATCAGATGTATGCGATGGTCCAGCATCATTGACAGATGCTTAAATAATTCAACAATGAAATAATTTAAAAATTATCCTAAATAAAAAAAAAAAAATTGACCAATATTAGTTACCACTGATATTTCCATTCCTATTCGGTATTTCCATGAATCGTGTCATTATATGCTGTGTCATTAAAACTTTTTCGTATATACCTTCTTTATTTGCCTGCATCTAAAATAAAAATTCAAATATTACGAATATTTATAATTTGCTAAAAATAAAATGAAAATGAAAAAACTTTTGAAATTTAACATTGTACACAATTTTAAAAGCAATACTGGAAAAAAAAAGAAAACGAAGCAAATCAACTGATTTCCAATAAGACAAATTTTAATTTCTATTATTCATTATACTAGTTATTTTTTTTATTTCTTTAGAATAATCATTTTCGAATTAACTTTCTTGAAAATTATTTGTTGCTCGAAACAAAAAAAAAAAAAAAATCAGATATACCTTGAGGGTATGTAGAGTAGATGGCAAATTATCTAGACCCTTCCAAGTATAGAAACTTTTGTGTGATTTTTCCATAGCTCCTAAAGCTTCCATAACATTTACGACATCGTAGATTCGACGCTTCTCAACTTCTGGAATTAAATTATTTCAATTTAAGCTATTGAGGATCTAAGATGATCTTAGTATTAAACAAAAGTTCTAACCACCAGGAAATTTTACACAGTTTGTATTTTATGTCAGTTAACATTTATCAATAGAAAAAACAGAAAAAATATTATGCATTCTAATATTTCAACTCATAATAAATTTCACATATTAATAATACATAATCAGTAATTATATCAAATTTTCTATAGATTTTTTTTAGATTGATTTTTTTTTTTTTTTGAATTTTCTCAAATTTTTAATATACCCATAGAACATGCGATTGTTTCAAGATTGATTTTGTCATCACCAGATTCTACATATTCAAGTACTTTCAGAAAGAATCTAAAAAGTAAACATTCTGTAACAAAATGATAAAAATTGATAGAGAAATTCATAATCTTTTTAAGTTTCAAAAAAAAAGAGAAATGAATTTCATCGAAAATAAATATTCACAATCAATATGAAATTATTTTCAAATTCCTCAAAATTTAAATTTAAAACTTCAATTCAAATTATATTCCTTTTTTCTTACTAAACTATTATATATGAATTAAAGAAATTAATTTATGAAAAGAAAAAAAATTCAAATGAAGAATTTGTAAAATAAACAAACCAAAAAGAAAAAATAAACAAAAATTAAGTTTATAATTTTATAAAAAAAAGAGAAAAAAAAGTTTGCAAATATTTTCTAGAAGCATTAAATAAGTTTCCATTCGATAAAATATTGAAATTTTTGGAGAAGATTAATGACGAAAACAAACTTCCGGCAAAGAAGTCCCAATGTTTTTGTCTTCCGCGGAAAGCCATTATTTGCTTCTTCGCCATTTCCACTATTCTGCTGAGTTCCATTTCCAATCGTTTCTTCAATTTCAATTTGATTTATTCGATCACTTTCATTGCATTCACCTTCTTCATTCTCATTCAATTCATCACCATCACTTTGATCCATTAAATTTCCATTCCTTTTAATTTTATCTCTCTTTCTATTCCGCTCTTCAATATCACCTTGACTGCTACTTCCGTTTTGTTTGATTCGAATTCCACTTCTACCCGATTCTTCCTGAACATTTTGACCCTTACGAATATTCCCGTTATATATTGCTCCATATCCATCTAATTCATCATCATCATCACTTTGACCCGTAGCGTTATATCTTTTACTATTTCCACTCGATTTTTCATAATCATTTTGATCTATTAGCATATTTCTGTTCCATTTGATTTCATTTATACTTCCACTTGATCCTTCATAATCTCTTTGACAGCAGTGAGCATTCCGATTCAATTTAATTTCACGTTCATTTCCATTCCTTATTCCATAATCTTTTTGATTGATTCGAACATTGTCCTTCCATTTACCGTTATTTCCGTCCGAATTTTTACATCCATTCCTTTGATTTTTTAAATTCCATTCAGATTTAAATTTATTTCTATTTTGTCTTTCACCAATTCCATCATTCAAGTGGTTTCCATTTCGTTGACTTTTAATCAGATTCATACATTGTTGATTCCCAACCGTAATATTCCGCATCTTCAGAGCTTTACGTTTACGTATATCTTCCATATGTGAATTCACATTTAAGTTGACAGCTGAAATATAAACTTTTTGCTTCATTTTTATTCTTTCTCTTCCCAAATTTTACAGTGTTACAGATCACTTTAATTATTTTAAATTAGAGTGAAAATTAACTTTTGGAATTAAAAAAGAAAAAGAAATGAATCATAATTTACACTGACATTAATGATTGAAAAGATCTGAATATTAATTTCCAAGACTACAAAAGTTCGATGATTTAAATAAATAATTATGGTTTAAGTTATTTCTAAACGAAAAAAAAAAGTTGTATGTTTAAAATTTATCGATAAGTCAAAGCAAAAAATCTTATTTATACTATCGTCTTAGCATACTGAATAATAATGTTAACGTCATTTAATAATAATAACAAATATGGCAAGACAAAATAATAATATAAAGAGTGTTTCAGGTTAGCATGAAACGAATTATACGAAAAGTATCAGTTGTATAATAAAATTACTAACTGATTTACTCCTGAAAAGAAAATACTAAAAAAAAATTTGCATTGTTGTAGTTACTTTGATTTATCATTTTCATTAATAGCTATTTTTTTAATTATTTTCATATATTATTGATTTCATAAATAAATTATTTTCTTGAAATATCGAAAATAATTTTGCAAAGTATAATGTTTACATATATATATATATATATATCATTTCACTGTTTTATTTGTAAATTTCAAATAAAAATTTTCGAAATTAAAATTCAAGTGATAATTGTAATACGCAAACCCGTTAATGTAGGTAAATTCTCATCGAATAACAATAGTTGCGATTGAGTCGAGCTTGGATCCTATAAAATTATATACATAATAAGTAAACATAGATTATTTATGTTTGATAAATTTCAAATACCAATACCAAACATTGTTAGTTATTCAATCTCAAAAAGGCATCTTTAGTACAACTTCTCTTCCATTATGAATAAATGATGCAGTTAAGAGATTTCTAGCTTTATATCAAATGTTTATTAAACATTACTTAGTAATTTCTAAAAACTCATATAAATATGTATGCAAAATAATTGGAAAGTTTGTACTTGAAAGACTGAAACAAATTTTGTCCCATATAAGGAAGATTTTGATATCCGTAATCCATCAAACAACTGCATGCTTTCCTCTGAAAAAAACTTCCTAGAATAAATTGTTGTTGAAAAATTAATGAAAATATAATCCATTAAAGTAAAATCTGGAATACAATTTAGTTTGTCAAGTTTCTGCATATTTTCTGGAAATTTTTAAAGTAATTACGGATCTGGAATTTCATTTTATACGTCATTTTATGTTTTGTGAAATAATTTTCCACTTTCTTAGCTAAGTAAGTTACTTGGAAAAATTCTTAAACAGATGTTTTTGATATTTGTGATATTAATACGTCATATTTTTGGAAATTCAAATATTAATATATTATTTTAAATTTTAGAATTAAACTTACATTAAACTTATACTTAAATATTTGCCAAGCAAAATTATCAACTCAGAATTTTAATTTTCAATTAACAAATGTAAACAAAACCTTTGAAATCATTCGAAAGTATTGCACTCCTAGCTTCATGTTGAGATCGATTACTTACTCCGCCCTATAATTCACGCATACACGTAATACACGTAAGACAATTATTGATCACCACCTATTAGTATGAGATTCTCGTTAAGTAAATTATAAGTATTATCTGATCTCATCGAACAATAATAACAATAAAATTATGATCGTTTTAACAACAGATTTTGGAAAAAAAATTTACGAATCTTAAATGATTTGTGATATTTTTGTAAAAAAAAACAAACAAAAATCAAACAAATAAATATACTTCAGTTGAATTATTCGTTGACAGTTGGCAACTTCCGAAAATTGAAGGATGTTGATACATACCAAAGGTATGATCTATAAAATGTTATTTAATATAATTTCATAAATTAGAAGGAAAAAATATCATCTAAATTGTAATTCATTAAAATAGCATAAATTGAATTCAAAATAATAGATATATTTTTTATTGCTATTAGAGAAATTTTCAAGTTATATTCATTTTGAAAATTCACATGTTTAATTAATTTTATGTGAAATTTTTCTAGAAAGAGAAAAAGTTACAAATAGCTTTTTTAGAGAGAGAGAGAATGGTTAAAAAAAAGAAGATAAAAATTCCATGAAAATGAAAAGTAAAAAAATTTCCAACTGATATATCATTTTGAAGAAAGTATTTTTTATTTTATTCTTTTATGAAAATATGTGATAGTTATTTAAATCTTTCTTTGTATTTTATCAAACGAAAAAGTAGAAATAATTACTCTATCATATATTTTAAAATGAATTAAAAATGAATAAATTAAAATAAAGGACAAAAATTAGTTTATAATACATCAAACTGTTATTAATTACATTTTATGTAATTTTTAAGATTTAAATATTTATCAGTACTATATTATAGCTTGTCAATTCCCTAATATAATAGTATTTTCATAAAAAATTAAAATAAACTTTAACTCGCAAATATTACAAATTGTTACGATAATACTTAGATAATGGAAGTAATTTGTGATCTTCTAAACTATTCCATTTTTCTTCTAATACTTTTAATAACATTTGTAAACAACACTCGATCAGGTAATTTACTTTAAGCACTCGATCAGGTAATTTACTTTAAGCACTTGATCAGGCAATTTACCTTAAGTACTTGATCAGGTAATTTACCTTAAGTACTTGATCAGGCAATTTACCTCAAGCACTCGAACAAATAATTATCTCAAATGTATATCGTTATGTCAGGTCAATTACCATAACATAAAATAATAATGCCAATACAATCTATTATTTAGTAACTCCCACTTTTGCATATCCTTGGGAGATGACAAGCTATACTAGCGATAATGACCTGTACATATAACCGGTATGTCCGGCATGTCCGGTATGAATCAGACAGATCTGAAATGAATGTCCTAACTGAACCTATCACTTAACAAATTTTGATATCACTATTTAAGCTTGCTAGTAAAGCTTTGCTAGACATAACTTAAAGCATTAAAAAGATGAGGCTAGTTACGTGGAATAGTTGCACAGGCGTCAAAAAAATGAGCCTAGTTGCGCTTTTCTGCTATACTTCAAGCTAAAAAAAATCGCTATGTAAGCTTAAAAGATATACATAACAGAATTGCCAAACTTTCTTAAAATAAATTTATGATAAAGATATGATAATGATGATAATAATGACGATAGCGTAATGATAATAGTGATAATGATGATGATTACCATATCATACAATTAATCACCATAGCATTTTTTTATCAAGAATTAGATACAAATATATATAAGTGGAGATATTACCGCTTTAATACATACAAAAGAAGAATTAATGAGTTGCAGAAAAGTACGGTCATTACACAACTAGAAAAATGATTCAAAAAAGAAAAAAGAAAATGAACAATGCCAGTTTAGTATTAGTATTAAGTTAATAGATATGAAGAAAAAAGGATTTGTGGGAAAGTATGTCCATCTATGGTCATCGATCAAAATCACACCGAACGGCAGCTGTTTATCGTTTGCGCTTCATTATCTCCCTTTTCGTTTCCTTCCTTCCTTCCTTCTTTACTTTCGTCTCCCACAAATCCCCCGTCGCGCTGCCCGCTTTCACTAAATATGATGTCCTATTGTGGAGACTTTCATATGATTACCTACCCTACCCACCATCGTTACCTATCCTACCCGTCATCGTTATCTTCAAGAGAGAAAGGCATCTAATAGCAACTAGAAAGTAATGAAATGAATGTTTGTTCAATCCTATAATAATCCATTAAGATTTCTTTTCTTTTTCTCTTCAAGTAAATTTATTTTTTTTTTTTTTAATATTATTTTGAATAGTTTTTTTGAATTTTTTTTTTTTTGAATAGTTTTTTTGAATAGTAATATTATTTTGAATTTTGAATAGTTTAAATTTATTTTAGTAATATTATATTTTGAATAGTTTCAAATTATTTTATTTCATCATCATTTCTCATTTTTTGCTAAATTAATTTGTGGAAATTAATCCTTCTTTTTCTTTTTCTTTTGACTATTTTTGAAACAGTTTGTATTTATCAAATAATGTCCACTTGATGTCCATTTATGGTTATTTGCTAAGGATTAATTGATTAGTAGAATAAATTCGCATAATCTATGATTCATCTTTCATTTTTCTTTTTGGAAATTAATCTTTCGGTTATTCGTTCGGTGCTTCTAGGATAATTTGCAATTAATTCTTTTCTTTTATCTCAGTTAATATTTATGATAAATTAACATTAAAATCACAATTAACAATTAAGACCATTAATGAGAGTTTACAATTACTTTCAAATGATAACTATCTAAATTGAATGATTTAACATTAATTCTCGTAATCTTTTTCTCTAAAATCATACTTAAATTTATGTTTATACAAAGGATACTAAAAATTTCACTTATGTGTATTCCTGTAAATGCAACGATATTTTCCGGAAGACATATGAAGGCTCACTTAGTGTAAACAGAAAGTGAAGAAATCAATCCTAAATCTTTATCAGTTTATACATTCATTATCAGTCTTATCAGACAATTGAAATAGAGAAATATCCAAATTTCCATCATGTGGAATACCACTTTTAGGATGAAAAACGGTGAATTACAATCACTAAGTTAATTAATTAATTAACTAAACGGAAATGCAAAAGGAAGCAATTCTGAACTTTGATTAAATTTCAGTATTTCTAGTTTAGATTTTGAAAATTTTATTCTTAAAAGAATGTTATTTTATCTACAAAAATATATTATCAAATATCCAAAAAAAAAACATCCTAATCGTTGTAGTAATTCAATACATTGATTACAATAATTTAATTAAGTATATCAATTATCATAACATATTATTGAAATAGACAATATATAGAAAATAAAAATTAAAGCAAAGATAATATGTTTTGACTCATTGAGAAGAATATCATTCATTATATGTCATTGTTATAATTGAATTGAAAATAT